GTGCACATTGAGTTTTCTGTGGAAATTTTGGAGGCTGGGGACTCATGGGTGCTCCATTAGATAGACAGTACTGTCTGTGTCTTATGGAAAGTAAAACGTGACTCTCAGCAACTTGATAATTATTCCCCAAGTTCATAGAGCTGAAGAAGGGCAGAGTTCAATTAGACTCCTGGTCCCTCTGATAATCCTCCTTACACTATGTCCCCAAGCACCACATTACCTTGATAACCCTCTCTCTAATTCCAAGCTCTAATGCTCAATGGTGTGCAGTAGCTTGCAACCCAAATAGTTGCTTAGAATATTCAATAATACATCTTTAGTCCTAGAAAAATACTAATTCCCTAGTCTGTGAAAATTTGAAAGAGGTAAAGTTCACAGGCTCCTGCCTGGCAAGTGTGTTTAAAGAGGAGGAAGGAAAACCTGGAAGCCCCCAGGTGAACAGAGCAGAGAAGTGACTAGTGTGGGTCTAGTAGCTGCCTAGAGTTAATTATCAAAGAAAAATGGGAAAGGAGGCAGGGATGAAAGAAGAATGGAAAAGTAGAAAGGTAGCTGCTAACTCAGCATGATCCTACAAGTTCCAAATTGGTAAATCACATCTAAAATATCTTCTAGATCTGAAAATACTGCGGTTATCTTCCCCTGTACTAGGGGAAAATGTGATGAGCCTATGAGTAACACACATTGGATAAACTCTATTGAGAGATCTAAAGAGATCAATTCAACTTCAAAATGTAAGAAAGGTGTTTTTAAAATGGGTGTCACATGTGGCAATTTTTATTTCTTCTCCACAGCATATATTATTCTAGGCAGAATTACTATGCTCTCTTATAGGTCAAATTTCATTTTAAAGAATGATGAGAAGTCACAGATAAATATTGCCTCACAGAAAAGGTTGCAAAGAGATCTTAGTTGTGGCTTTGGCCAGCCTTAGACATTGTCACAGCAACTGGGAATTCTCAGCTGTGTCACACAAACGAAATGAGGTTTATCACAGCACTTACTCACATAAACTATGTATGTGTGTGTGTTGACCACATTTGCTGGAGATGCACTTCTAGAAACCCACTGACCTCAGATAGACGCAGTCCAATTTCCTCAGACAGAAGATGGTTTCCTGGGGTACACAGTCAGGCAATCTGGAAGGGCAGTCACTTTGTAGTCTCAGGTGAATGTCAACTCTGCCTTCCCTCCCTTTGAGATCAGTGACTGACACTTTAAACAGGGTGCAGAAAACAGTGGCGTGGTCACCACATGGACACTAATGCCTAGTTAAATTTCTTTTCTTTCCTTTGTTAGATAATAGTCAAGACATTGGATTTTTGTCGGGAATGGTCTTCTTCTCCACCATGTTGCCGATTTTTGCTCTGATTGGGATATTTAACACATCACTTCGAATAAGGTAGGTTTTTGTAGTGTCTGGTTCCTGATTTAGGCCATATATATGTACTACCAAAATATAGTCAAGTCAGTTCTTTACACATTCACATCTTTATTTTGAAAAAGAGAATTTTTAATCATTATTGTGTGTGTATTATTTGTGACTGGAAGAGTGTACACATGTCACAGGGTGTGTACATGGAGATCAGAGGACAGCTTTGTTGTTGGGTCTCTCTTTCCACCCTTATGTGAGATTCAGGAACTGAACAGGTCACATGCAGGTAACCAGAGGTGGTATTAGTATGTGAGTGTAGCAACCATGTCGTGTCCTGAAGACAGAATTTCACAGCACTCCTCCCTATTCTCTGTCTCTTACCTTCTTTCTGCCCCTTCTTCTGTGATGCTGTCTTGAGCCTTGCAAGGTGAGGGTATTTTAGACAGTCCACTCATACTGATCATTAAACAGTCACTTATTTCTCAGAACTTTTACTGACCAATTATGAGTCTCTGCATTGACAGCTGCTTACTGTAAAAAGAAGCTTCTCTGACCCAGGTTGTGAATACCACTAACCTATGAGTATAAACAAATACATAGAAGGCAATTTGACAACAGGACCATTTAGCAAAAGAACAGTAGTAGAGATCTTCCTTATTTGGGCCTATGCCCTCCCCAGACATGAGCTTTTAACCAGGTTTAACACCACACTTGAATTTCCTCCTGTGGACAGGTTTCAAACCCAATCAAAAAGTGGATGGTTACTCCTGTAACATTCTTGGCGCTATAGCACCAGTGAATACATTTTGCCTGGCATTTTAGTATTGTAGAACATGGGTTACCACTTGGTAAAACCATTGATGACTTTCCTCCCCCAGTGGCTGACATAAACCCTTCCAGCATTGTGAACACTGGCTAGTATGAAGGAAGTTTCCAGGTCAGTTCCAACATCATTTTTCTGTATTCTGCAACCAATGTGTATGGTGTCTTCAGAAATAATGTCTTACCATCTAGTCATGGTGGGCAACTAAAAGCAGTAGCAATAGGCTGTGTTGTCTTGAGGAAGGCCCCATCTTCTTCCAAATGACTTCTCCCAGGTATTAGTAAAGGCTTCTGCCTAGTTGTTCAAAGTGAAATATGAGTAAGGAAAGGCCTCTGATTTTCTATATGTTACCAGATGCTTTTGGCATTTTTAATATGTTTACAGACTAAAGTTGTTTAATGTTACAGTGTTTTAGTATGTCTAATAATGCACAGATTTGGACACACATGAACGTTCTCTGGTTTATGACTTAGACTGTATATATAGCCAATCAGAAATTGGAAACCAGTGTCTTTTTTTTTTTTCAACACTTGTTTCATGAGGCAATCATTCATCTAAATGTATAATCAAAATGAAGAAGAAAGGTTTTAAGCAAGCTAGTCTATAAATTATACCAACCTATTATCTGCACAGGCTTTTCCCACAGAACTTAATATTTCAAATTTTAAATATGTTAATAAGTGTATCCTAGTGCCTTTTCAAAGTGGACGAACTAGTACGTAATTTTGCTTGGGGGTGTCTTAAAATGTAATTAAATACAAAGATTCTTGAAACCTCTTAGTGTTCAAATAATGCCTATAAAAACTGGTATTATCATCTAAAGATAATATTAATAATATTAGTATTAGCATCTAAAGATATCCTAAATAGTTTGAATTTTAAATAACCATTTCATTACTATAATTAATATAACCCAGAGACTTTTAGTTAGCAATAATGCATAAGAAAATAGAACAATTCTTGGATAATTTAATTGCTTAAATTCTAATTTTAAGAAAATAAAAGAGGGGCTTGGGAGATGGCTCTTTCATTAAAGTATGACTTGAGTTTGAGCCCCAGGATCCAAGTTAACAAAGGTCACAGGTATTGTGTTACTTACTTAAAATCCCAGTGCTGGAAAAGCAGAAACAGGCATATCTGTGAGGCTCACTGACCTGCTTTCCAAGCTCCAGGCTGGCGATAGACCCTGCCTTCAAAATAAGGCAGATAGCACCTAACCCAGGGTTGTCCCCAGGCCTCCACATGTACACATATCCACAAATCCACACGTGTATAATGAAAACACATGCACATGTAAAATAGAAAGAAATAATTCCAATATAAGTATTTAACATATAAGTAGATACTGTTGGTTAATACAACTATACTTTACTTATAAAAGCCCATTATTAAAATCAGAACTAAAACAGAGGCAAAAATCACATTTTAAATATGCACAGATTCTATGTATTAGTGATTAACATCAAGTTACCAATAATGCATCAGTGTCGAATTAAGGAAAGAAGTAAAAGCACTTCCCTTGGAGTCATTTAACCAAGAACAAAGTCCAGATTGGAATCCTCTGCCTCATGTTCCCTGTACCTTCTCATCTGTCTGCTGTATGAGTCTGAACCTGTACCTACCTGAAGGCTGTCCTGTGAATCTGTCTGTCCATGTGTCTGTGTGTGTCTCTCCCTATGTGTGTCTGTCTGTCTGTGAGTGTCGTGTGTGTCTCTCACAAAGGGCTTCACTCTTTATTTATCAACACAGAAAGCATCACATAGGAAAGGAATAGGATACTTTATAGAAATCTTTAACAGAGTTTTACAAGGGATTAAGTCCCTGGCTCCAACTGATTCCAACTGGCCCAGATAACACCAATGAAAAATATCATTATCAACTAATATCCATACATGATTGCTTTCAACCTTTATGGTAGGTTTTAGAAAGTGGCTTTCAACTTCTATATTTGCTTCTTTCAGCAAATGATACACGTGCATTATCTGGGTCAGGGGCACGGAAGAGGAGATAATTTAAGATTATAGCTATGCATTAGCTTAGGTTGTAAATGTTGATTACATGGGAAATCCAATGCACTACTACAGTATTTTCTTAAAGGCGGATTAAACAAACTGAATACATGGTAGACTAGCATTCTCTTAAGTGACTTTGAGGTGTATTATTAACTCTGGCAGTGAGATACAGCAAAAGTTTCAGTCTTTTAAGATGTAAAATATTTTCAGAACATTGTATCACCACATAAATATAACAAAACTAAGAGTAGATAAATTAAAAATATATATGTAAAATCACTCTATACTGTATTAATGTGCATTGTGAAACATCACAGTAGCATCAACTCACTATCTTGGTCTACTTATAAACAGAAAGAATGTGAATTAATTTTAAAATCTGAATCATAAAAGATTGTATACATATACACAAAGAAATCATTTTTCTCTAGTGTCAATCAAGGACAAAGGAGCTTGCAAAATTTACCCAGCCATTTTTGTTGTCACTTAATAAATGTGTTTAGGGAACCTGCTAAAACAAATTACAGGTCTTACTTGTTTCACAGTTTCTTGATGCATAAAAATAGACCTCAGATCAGTGTGGTCTTGTCTACAAGCCTGGTACAACCTTTCTGCCCAAATGAGTGTGCACAATCAATATAGAAAGTGCTTTTATATGCAAAGGCAGCACCATGAAAAACATCTGACAAGACATCAAACTGGCTTCCCCTGAACCCTTCTTAAGTAAGAGATGGAAGACTTTCCTTCGTGAGGTTAGGTTGTGTTCCATTCTAGCTCAGTTCATGACCTATGATTGCCTGCTCTGATTCTAAAGAGATGTGCTGAGAGAGCATGGCAGTGCATGCCCTTAATCCCAGCACTCAGGAGACAGAGGCAGGGCCAGCCTGGTCTGCAGAACAAGTTCCGGTATAGTCAGGGCTACACAGAGAAACCCTGTCTCAAAAAACAAAGGAAGAAAGGAAGGAAGGAAGGAGCTGCTTCTAATGTGTCTTTTTTGTTTTCTAGAATTAAAAGAAAAGTCTTACTGATAATCCCAAAGTGGCTTCATGAAGATATTCCTAAAATGGAAAATAGTAATGTTGCACAATTGCTACAGGTAATCAAACAGCACCAAACAGAATGTGATTGTTTCCTGGTGTGGTAGGTATGCCAGTAATACCAGCGTTGGAAAGGCTGGGGCAGGAAGATCACAAATTCAAGGCCAACCTGAGCTACATAATGAGACCTTTCAAAACAAATAAGTAAGGGCTGGAGAGGCTGCTCAGTGGTTAAGAGTATTTGTTGCTCTTGTAGAGGACCCAGGTTCAATTCTTAGCACCCACATGGTGGCCCACAGCCATCCATAACTCCAGTTCCAGAGGATCCAATGACCCTTTCTGACCTCTTCAGACACCATATACACACATAATACACATACATATATGCAAACAAAACACTGGTACATACAAAATAAGATAAATAACTAAAAATAAATAATAAACAACAACAAAATCTCCACAATTGAAATGCCAGTTGGAGTAGAAACATAGCTGTGTATGTGTGTGTGGAAACAAAGTTATAGCATCTCAAACCCTACTTAGACGAAAGAACAGTTAGCAGAGTAAAGGGCAGGAGAAAAGGAAACTATACTATACAGGAAGAAAGATTGCTAAGTGTCTTCAGGGCAGAGGAGGGAGGGAAGAAATGTTTTGTGGATCGTGCATTAAAGGCTCCAAGAGGATTGTTTACAAGAGACGGAGATGTGTCCAAGTCTCAGGCAGGGTACCACTCCATTTCTCCAACTTTATGGACTATGCAAAGATTATTGTTGGGTGACTGCGGAAGATGGTGTCACTGGGGTGGACTAGGATTTATGTCAACCAGGAAAAAAGGAGTAGGCACCAGGATGGCCCTGGGAAAGGCGGG